TTAAACTAAGTATGTATTGTTACCTTAGTCACCTTAACGTGGCTTATATATTTAATAATATATGGAGAAACTTATAATAGCATGGCATAGGATAGATGTAAGGAAATTAGTATGTAAATATTATGGATATGGGGTGTTTTTTTCGATTTAGGTGAAAATTAAGAATCATACTATTTTACCAATCCCTTTTAGTTTTGTGTGTCCTTTATTTTCGCTGTTCATATTAATATCTCGTTACCCGTCTCTCTCCTGGGGCTAAAGTTAAACAAAGAAATAAAATCAGATCAAAATAGATTAAACTCAATAAACACCGTTGTTTGATCCAAGTGTAGGTTGGTTTCAGGCCTAAAACATATTGTTTTTAGTGGAGTTCAGACTTCAGAGAGTACTGAAATAATCTTGTTCGATCCTGCTTTGCCTTGGTGTTTCACCAGCTTTGGTTCGCGTCCCTATGTGAAGTGGCAAACAAAATTATCTCAGGATGAAGCGACGAACAAAAATCGTTAGGAGATTAGAACAATGCAGAATGAAATCTCCGGGGTTTTTTTTCTGTTGTTATGGTCTTGGATGGAGGCCATTCCTCCATTGTCTATGCTCTGATTCTGCCCTATGCCCTTGCACTTTGCTGGCTCGCAATGGAGAGAAGAAGAAGATCAAATAAAGGCTACAACCGGATTAATAGGACTTAATGAATAACATCATCCATTGATGCCGTGGAAACACGGATCGGAACAGGGAAGCCTGAACTGGGAATGCGGCGCCGGACCCGTAGGAGTACGCGCAGGCGTGCCTGCGGTTGGAAGTGGTGGCCGTTTGGGCTCTATGTTTTACATCTCAATCAAATCTAACGGTTTAGAATATTGGACCCACCTCATTAACTAAAAATCAAGAGATATATATTAATATCATGTGGTAACCTGAGAGCGTTTTTAGATCGCCACGTGGCGGTTTAGAAGCGTTTGTGTTGACGAAAAAATCGAACACACCGCCCTGGGAGATCTGCTTAACTCCTGTGCAGGTCCAAAGGTTGATGAAATGCGGGCGTGCCAGTCAGTTTGATCCTGCAACTGACAAGATATGCAAATAGCAGATCAAAACAGCCGATCGGCTGACAAGCCGATGGAGTAGTTCCAGCCGATAGCCAATAATAGCTAATGCCGATACCAGCCGATAGCGATAGGGTGTAAGCAATCGGCTATATGTCCAATGTAGATAATGATATAAAGGCAATCGGCTGATGTAATAAAATAACAATATAATCGAGTAGAAACCAATCGGCTAGAAACAATATATAATAAGCACTGATTCGAAGGTTAAAGCACACATCGGCTGGAGGTCTGACGTCATGAAATCCACAAGATTAGATTAAACAGTGAAACCTTTGTTGTCATCGGCTAAATCCAACTTATATGTATATGCAATCCTTATGAGCCGATGCAACGTCTAAATAACTCATCGGCTGAAACCCCGATGAAACCCTTATTGGCAATCAAGAAGCAGGCTAGAGATTGATATTCTAAGCACGACTTAACAGATCAAACTCAACTGATGCAGCACTAAGTATGAAAAGAATCAAAATATCTAGACAATTAAGCCATCACTGAGTTTTCAGGGTGGTAGATGTCTAAGCTAATCTAATCTAACAACGCGATTTAGCCGATACCGGCAGAAACCCTAAAACTTGCCATGCCACATTCTCTTTAAACTCTGTCGTTTAAGGATAAGCTTCCTTTAGTAGATTGATTTCCTTAACAGAATATAGCAGGAATCCGACTATTGGCGACTTGATAACTCCCATCAGCTGATTCCGAGATGCCGTAGCCGATAGTCACTCTAAGTCGATGATGACTTTGGGCTTACCAAATTTCACTGTCAACACATGTTCCCCAGTTTTGGAGTATGAGACTCATGCTTCAAAATTATCTTCTTTCTCTATCTTGTAATCGGCTTTCATGATGTGCTCCGCCATGCTGAAACTGATGCGCTTGCCCCCCGAGCCGATATTGTTGTTCTTCCGTTAAATTCTCCACCGTAACCATGATCTTGGCATTGGCTTCTTCTTCAGACATATGGATATAAAATTCGTGGTCACACCAGGCGTGGCAATCTGTGTTGACGAAAAAAACGAACACGGTGGCCTGGGAGATCTGCTTAGCTCCTGTGCAGGTCCAAAGATAGATGAGATGTGAGCGTGCCAGTCAGTTTGATCCTGCAACTGACAAGATATGCAAATGGTAGATCAAAACAGTCGATCGGCTGACAAGCCAATGGAATAGTTCCAGCCAATAGCCGATAATAGCTGATGCCGATACCAGCCGATAGCGATAGGGTATAAGCAATCAGCTATATGTCCAATTTAGATGATGATATAAAGGTAATCGGCTGTTGATAATAAAATATAACAATAATATCTTATTGCGATCTGCTAAATCCAATATATATGCAATCCTTGTAAGCCGATGCAACGTCCAGATAACTCATCAGCTGAAACCCCGATGAAACCCTTATTGGCAATCATGAAGCAGGCTAGAGATTGATATTCTAAGCACGACTTAGTAGATCAAACTCAACTGATGCAGCACAAAGTATGAAAAGAAACACAATATCTAGACAATCAAGCCGTTGACTGATTTTCAGGGTGGTAGATGTCTAGGCTAATCTAATCTAGCAACGTGATTTAGCCGATACTGGCAGAAACCTTTAAACGAGAAGCAGCCGATAGAGCTAAATTGAGATGCTAGGACTAGATTAACATAGACATATGATAAATAGCCAGACAAATATATTATCCAAACCAGAGTAATCCAAGAGGTCGAATGTCCTGATGCAGCCTTGAACGACGCCGACGTAGACGATATAATTGCCTGGACCGGCGGAACATTGGACTTATCCCTTCGCCGGAGATCGAAGACGATGCAGCCCCGCGTCGGGTGCCATGTTCCGCCGGAACGTAAAAACAAAAGTAGAAGTAAAAAGGGTGGCGATGCGCCGAATTATATTGATCGTGAAGATAGATTACATAGACCCCGGGTGTACATATTTATACCCATGGTTTGATACAAGGCCTTGTCGGACAAGAAAGAAACTTTCCTAAAGATAAAAGGAAAAGATAAAGGCCTTATAGGACACTAAACACACTTTCCTAAAGATAAAAGGAAACTGACAAACTAGTCCTAATTAATAAATAACTTGCCATGCCGCATTCTCTTTGAACTCGGTCTCTTCTGGATACGCTTCCTTTAGTAGATTGATTTCCTTAATCGAATATAGCAGGAATCCGACTATTGGCGACTTGATAACTCCCATCGGCTGATTCCGAGATGCCGTAGCCGATAGTGACTCTAAGCCGATGATGACTTTGGGCTTACCAAATTTCACTGTCAACACATGCCCCCCAATTTTGGAGTATGAGAACTCATGCTTCAAAATTATCTTCTTTCTCTATCTTGTAATCGGCTTTCATGATGTGCTCCACCATTCTAAAACTGATGTGCTTGCCCCCCGAGCCGATATTGTTGTTCTTCCATTAAATTCTCCACCGTAACCATGATCTTGACATTGACTTCTTCTTCAGACATGTGGATATAAAATTCGTGGTCCCACTAGGCGTGCCAATCTGTGTTGACGAAAAAATCGAACACACCGGCCTGGGAGATTTGCTTAGCTCTTGTGCAGGTCCAAAGGTTGATGAGATGCAGGCGTGCCAGTCAGTTTGATCCTGCAACTGACAAGATATGCAAATAGCAGATCAAAACAGCCGATCGGCTGACAAGCCGATGGAGTAGTTCCAGCCGATAGCCGATAATAGCTGATGCCGATACCAGCCGATAGCGATAGGGTGTAAGCAATCGGCTATATGTCCAATGTAGATAATGATATAAAGGCAATCGGCTGATGTAATAAAATAACAATATAATCGAGTAGAAACCAATCGGCTAGAAACAATATATAATAAGCACTGATCCGAAGGTTAAAGCACACATCGGCTGGAGGTCCGATGTCATGAAATCCACAAGATTAGATTAAACAGTGAAACCTTTGTTGTCATCGGCTAAATCCAACTTATATGTATATGCAATCCTTATGAGCCGATGCAACGTCCAAATAACTCATCGGCTGAAACCCCGATGAAACCCTTATTGGCAATCAAGAAGCAGGCTAGAGAATGATATTCTAAGCACGACTTAGTAGATCAAACTCAACTGATACAGCACTAAGTATGAAAAGAAACAAAATATCTAGACAATCAAGCCGTTGAGTGAGTTTTCAGGGTGGTAGATGTCTAGGCTAATCTAATCTAGCAACGCGATTTAGCCGATACCAGCAGAAACCCTAAAATTGAGATGCTACGACTAGATTAACATAGACATATGATAAATATCCAGGCAAATATATTATCCAAACCAGAGTAATCGAAGAGGTCGAATGTCCTGATGCAGCCTTGAACGACGCCGACGTAGACGATACAATAGCCTGGACCGGCGGAACATTGGACTTATCCCTTCGCCGGAGATCGAAGACAATGCAGCCCCGCGTCGGGTGCCATGTTCCGCCGGAACGTAAAAACAAAAGTAGAAGTAAAAACGGTGGCGATGCGCTGAATTGTATTGATCGTGGAGATAGATTACATAGACCCCGGGTGTACATATTTATACCCATGGGTTGATACAAGTCCTTGTCGAACAAGAAAGAAACTTTCCTAAAGATAAAAGGAAAAGATAAAGACCTTATAGGACACTAAACATACTTTCCTAAAGATAGAAGGAAACTAACAAACTAGTCCTAATTAATAGATAACTCGTCATGCCGCATTCTCTTTGAACTCGGTCTCTTCTGGATAAGCTTCCTTTAGTAGATTGATTTCTTTAATCGAATATAGCAAGAATTCGACTATTGGCGACTTGATAACTCCCATCGGCTGATTCCGAGATGCTGTAGCCGATAGTGACTCTAAGCCGATGATGACTTTGGGCTTATCAAATTTCACTGTCAACAATTTGTAGCCAGTTTAATGGACTTTTAGTATATAATAGATAATAGATAGATAGATACATATGATCATCTTTTCCAAGGACGCAAAAAAAATCTCTCTATATATCATCAATTTCATTGCCTTGAAGTGTGCTTTTTTTTTTCTTTTTTTTTTTTGAAGAAACGGTACAATGTCACTCTGCTAATTGAGAGTGAGGTATATCTGTTTGCCTTCTGTTTTCTATCTTTTCTTGAGTATATCTGTTACTGATGGGAGATATCTAACTGGCTGGAGACTGGGTTATGCTACTGATCATGCTCAGTGCAATGCAGGGCTGATCAGCAGGTACCTGCAGAGAACATAACACATGTAAACGTACAATTCAGGTTAGGCTGTGTTTAATTCGTGTGCCAAAATTTTTTTTAAGTATATGGGCACATAATATTTGAAGTATTAAACGTAGACTAATAACAAAACAAATTACAGATTCCGCATGTAAATTGCGAGACGAATTTATTAAGCCTAGTTAATCCGTCATTAGCAAATGTTCACATTGTCAAATCAATGCGTAATTAGGCTCAAAAGATTCGTCTTGCAATTTACATACAAACTGTCCAATTGATTTTTTTCATCCACATTTAATGCTCCATGCATATATCTAAATATTTGTTGTGACGGAAAAGTTGGAAGTTTGACGAAAAAAATTTGAATTTAAACACGGCCTTAGAAATCAAACTTGTAACTAGAGTTTTTCTAGTAGTGGCATGCGTTTTTTTTTAGTAGTGTGGCATGTGTATGTTGAGACTTACAAAGTGTCCAGCCCCAAGTATCCAGTAGAAATGCAGGTTCTTGTATGATCTGACGAACGCCTTGGTGCCCTTGGAAGAGCCACACTTCAAAGGCTGCCTTGGTAGGCTCAGGAAGTTCTTCAGCCCATCCCATCTGAAATTCATAACAAAGCTCTTCATCACACATCTGAATTGTTCAACAAACTAGAAAAAGTTGGAAGGGGAAAATAATCCCTTACTTGAGCTTCTTCACCCATGCTTCTGCACCGATCGTCGAGCATATTACATCAAGCTTCAGAAGAGAAAAATAACACACCAAATCAGGGTTTGCACTTTCGAAAGGCACCGACATTTAAGATATGTCCAACGAACTTTTTGAAAATTTAACCCATTTTTGCCGAATTTGAATAAATTATGGCTAAATTCACAAATATCTGGGGAAATCCAAAACATTCGTACGAAATATTTGCTTGCTGGGGGTGGCGAAATTACCGAGATTTTCGAATATTTTGTTCCGGAAGTTCAATCCCTGCACTGAATTACTACTCTGAATTTACAGAGTTGTAGTGCTAGCTGACCTAATTTGTTGATTTAATGACTTTTTTTTTAGTTATGCATCACTAAAAGAAAATTAGCAAACTTCAGGCCTCAAATAACACATGATTTCTCTCCAAACTGTTGACCTTGACCATGTGAGCAATAACATGTGAGAGTAGATGGCTCTTGCAATCTGCAGATCTCTTGCTGCTCACTCAACTCCTGAGCAAAAGTGCTCCGATTGGAGAGCTCTTCACGCAAGGAAGTTTCCCTCTAATCCTAGCCAGGCATGCCTGGACCCCTTGGCTGCAGGATGTGGCTGTCACTAATGATCTCTGAACTTTACAGTGGAAGTTAACCCAAATTTCAGAAAGGGTGCCGCCTTTTCTGAACAACAACTCGTCGGCTTCACGTTATCCTGCTCTCCCACTGACTAGCAGCACCCTTTATTCTTATATACTTCTTGTTGCTTACTCAAGATGCTTCCAGCATCAATTGGTAACATGCAAGGAATCCCCATCTTATTAGCTGGATATATGTACTACCAATTAATCAATCAAACTATGCATCCCCATCTAATTTGGACTTTTGTGACATAAATCCTGCTCATTTTGTGTGTGCTATGCACCTAGCAGAATTGTCAGTGCTCGGTAGTCAGTAGTTACCTGACCATTGTAGACCGTCACATTGATACCGTAAGACAGCAGCTCATCGATCTGGAACAGGGCACACAGACAGTTAATCAAACATGGACCATTAATTTCATCAGGAATTTTACAAGTTAAAGACGCATTCATTAATACTTAGTAGATCACCTCGTTGATTCTTGGCTTCATGAAATCGTTGACCAGCGCATTGTAGACCGGATCCGACAGTTCCTGCCACCTGCAGTTCAGTTGAAATTGCAGCGTTTTCTCAAGGATGAGGAGGATGATTTGGACAGTAATAAATTGAAAAAAATCAGCGTGCGAACGTGATTTGGACAGTTGTGCTGGTCATTGTGATGTGAAACAGCGAAAGAAATGGACACCCACTTGAGGTTGTTGGGGATGATCTTGAGCTTTTCCTTGATGACACCGTTCATGATGCCCTCGATCGTGTTGGAGCCTGAATCGGCCGCTTGGCTGCTAAGGTATGTTGAGTACTTCATCAACTGAGCACTGCTTGACGACGGCGATGAGGAGCTCGCCGCCGGTAAGTCTGCCGACACCGGGTCCATGCCGGAGTCAAGCAAGAAATTGTACATGTCCTGCAAATAAGGGTTTGTTTAGTTAACGTTAAAATTAGAAATTTGATTGAAATTGAAACGATGTGACGGAAAAGTTGGAAGTTTGTGTGTAGAAAAGTTTTGATGTGATGGAAAAGTTGGAAGTTTGAAGAAAAAATCTGCAACTAAACACGGCCTAAACAACGACTCTAGTGTGATCCTAAACAACGACTCTAGTGTGATCAAGCTAGCTGTACTGCTGACTGGGTGTGAATATAATCTGCAAAATGCTGATATTAAATACAGATTTTTGCGGCTTTCTCGCCCTTTTCTGTGTGCATTGTACTAAATTAAAAAGATGGCGGTGGGTGAACCTTGTCTCCTTTCTACTTGATCCCGTCTCTTTCAAAGAATGATAACAAAACAACAAAAGAAGAACGAAAATTCTGTAATAATAACATAGTCCTAACAAACATGAGAAAATTGTCCTATCGAAAACAATCTTCCTAAACAACTTTATCTCTTTAGACAAACTGACTCTTACAAGCTAGCTACCTCTGATCAGTACTCCCTTCTTTCATATTCATATTGTATGTCGTTTGAAGTTTTTTTCTAGTCACTAAGTTTATAAAAAGAAATAGTCGTATTTTCAACATTAATCAAACACAGTATCAAAATATATTCAATGTTAGATTAATGAGAGTAATTTGACAGTATCGAAAAATGTTTCCAAACGAAAGTCCTTTCTAATGGATAGTTATGTTGGTTAAAGAAAATAGTACTACCATGTTCTTTGGACTTTCGCGTCATATGCATCTTTGACTCATGCTTACAGTAATTTACGTCCAACGCGATGATAAAACTATACTATTGTTCTGACGTGGCAAAATCTAATAATATGATTCTCGCAATCAATTTAAATGGTTTAACAATTAATGAGTAAGCTTTATTTTTTATTTTGCTACTGACCATATACTAATGAGTAACAAAAGAAAAGATAAAAAAATGAGTAACAAAAAAAAGGTGTCCAGATAGCATCAACAAAATAAAATTTTCAAGATTAATGGTGGTAAAAAAGAAAATTTCCCCTAATATGTAACAGAATTCAAAATTTTCACCTAAATTATCCCCACAATTCACAGAGGTACCAATTTTTTAATTAATTGTATACTTGGGGTATCTCTAAGATAAGTTTTCCAATAGAAAATAGTATATATGATCATAAAATCCTCAAAATAAAAGCGTGTGAGTGCTACGCGTGGCGTGCAGTGGCGAACACTTACGACGCTGGCGCTCTTTTTGTCGATGAAACCCAGCAGGTCGATCCACGACTGCTGCGAGTCCGCAAGCTGCCCCGCCGTGATCTGCTCCTTCACCGTCGCCGCCATCCTGACATCACCGTTCACACATACGTACGTCATTAATTAGAGACTTCGCCGGAGAGAGCCTAGCTATGTTTTTTTCTTCTTTCGATTCGTCGCGGCCCGCCGCCGCCGTGGCTTACTTGCTGGCCTCGTCGCCGGCGTTGTCGTCCAGCCTCGACACCTCCAGCAGCAGCGGCGTGTACGCGAGCTGCATATATATCCATCAAGAAAACGTCATGAATTATTCCTTCCGAGCTTGATCTATACAGCGTTGAATTGTGAGCGGATTCCAAGAAAATCGTTTTGTTTTCTCACCGTGAAATCCTCCGGCGAGATCCAGCTGTCGCCGAGCGCCACGCCGCCGAGGTTGAGCTTGAGGTCGCCGGCGCGGATGGCCCGGGCGAGGGAGACGCCGAGCGTGGCGGCGTACTTGCCGCCGTAGGACTCGGCGACGAGGAACAGCGGGCTGCTCTGCAGGGTGGGTATCTCCTTGGCGGCGAGCGCCCTGAGCAGCTCGGTGGCGTCCGTGGCCGCCTGCCAGTCCGTCGTCACCAGCGCGCTCGGGTCGTCCGCGTAGCTGTACCCGACGCCCACCGGGTTGTCCTGCTCGCCGTCGCCACCATTGACACAAGTCAGCTCATGTACGTAGCAGAAACAGAGCAAGAAAGGAGAATTCCGCCGCGTGTTCGTCGGTCTCGATCGCTCACCACGAAGATGAGGTCGGCCTTCTGCAGCCACGTCGAGTCGCGCGGCTTCAGGTTGACGTCCAGCGGCCCGACCTCCAGGAAGTTGCCGAGCCCGACGCCCGACGCTCCCTGCTCCGACGACGACGACGACGACATGCATCGATTAGCGTTCTTGAGCTCAAACATGATTAGAATTCAAGGTGAAGAGAAGTGTGTACCGGGCCGCCCTGAAGCCAGAGGATGGTCGGCCATGGCTTCCCCGGCGACGACGCCCGCTGCGGGCTCTTGTAGTACCACCAGAACAGGTGCGCCTCTGCAACGACGAACATGGCATATTTACATTTAGTTTAGCACTTAGTAGTAATTAAAGATGCTCATTAGTGGTTGTCGATCGACGTACTCGGGCGAACTTGGACGTATCCCCAGAGCTCGCTGCCGTCGCCGGTGCCGGAGGTGAGGTCGTCGTCGGCGGCGGCGGCGCGCTCGCCGTGGAGGAGACAGAGGAAGAGGAGGGCGAGCAGAGCAAGGGGAAGAAGAGGAGGATAGGGCCTGTCCATATCGAGGGCCGTAGTGGCTCAGTATGCTAGTGCGAGCAGCAATGTGGTGGCCAGAAGACGATTTATATTTAGCGACCTTGGCAACGACGTGCCCGCTTACCCCACGCTTACGCTTATGTACGAACAAATGGGAAGAACAGCTGAATGTCACGTGCATGTCCCATTAAATATACGGACACACATTTAAAATATTAAACGTAGTCTAATAATAAAACAAATTACAGATTTCGTCAGGAAACTGCAAGACAAATTTATTAAGCCTAATTAATCCGTCATTATCAAATGTTTACTCTAGCACCACGTTGTCAAATCATGGCGCAATTAGGCTTAAAAAGATTCGTCTCGCAATTTTCTGGCGAGCTGTGTAATTGATTTTTTTTGTCTATATTTAATACTTTATGCATGTGTCCAAACATTCGATATGACAGCGTGAAAAATTTTGTTTGGGAACTAAACAGTCACTAACTGGAATGAAATGGGATGTGATGTCTCTTTTTAAGCTGTCTTTATAATATATTGTTAATAATATAATAGATAGATAGATTGTATGGATGAAATGGGTAGATAGATACATAGCTTCATATATTATTAGATGTACACATCGATATATAGCTTGTACAATTTCAGGGACATTTTGAATTATGAATATAGGATGTCACGCAATTTGGGAGATATTCCCTCCGTCCTATAATATAAAGTCCCATAATATAAAGGATTTTGACTTTTCACTTACACTGTTACACTGTTTGACCACTCGTCTTATTCAAGAAAATTGTGCAAATATAAAAAGTTGTGCTTAAAATACTTTGGATAATAATAAAGTAAGTCAAAAAAAAATAATTCTAATTTTTTTTAATAAGACGAATGGTTAAACAATGCAAATAAAAAATCAAAATCCTTTATATTATGGGACGGAGAAAGTAAGTGGAATGGATTTATGACATCGGAGTGTTCTTTTAAGCCGTTTTCTACTAAATATTTATCTCGGACTATTTGCTCCACATTTCTAAAAATATGATTTATTTAAAAAATTACTTCTACTATATTTTTGCTACATGTAAATTTTGTCTCTCAAAATATTAATTTATCATGTCACCGAGGGCATCCTTAATATGCAGTATTGCCTAAGTGCAAGTAAATTGAGGTGGGCCTTCTAACAGTAGGTAACAGTTAAATTTACCACAATACATATTTTGTAATTCCGTATAAGGGCAGGTGCAAAGTGTGCACATGTTCTGGGCCCCAAATCTAGAGTTATTAGTACTAATTATATGTAGTTAATTATCAGCAAATTACAATGCCCCACACTACTTGAAAACTATTCTTCGTGGTGGCTATTTTGGATTTTCACTGGCGGAATTTGAAACCGCCACAAAGTAAAGGCCAGTGAAAATCATGATCTTTGCTAGCGGTTAATGGCTACCAATGATAATTCATTTTTACTGATGGTCGTCTTAAGCAAGCCGTCAGCAAAAATCTATTTTCGCTGGCGGTTGGCTTAAGACGGCCACCAGCGAAAAAACATTTTCGCTGGCGGGTTACACTGTGCCAGCCGCCAGTGTAAATGCTGGCCAAGTTTAAAAAAAACAACACCGCTCCGTCCGCCTCCGTCAACGCTCCACCATTCAAAATTTTCACATAAATTTACCAAGCATTAAAAATTCCACAGAAATTTACATCAACAATTTACAGTCAAAAATGTCCATTCACCCAAGCATTCAAGCATCACAAAAATCACCAAAAATTTGAAGTCGGCGCTGCCCCTGTCGGCGTCGGCGGTGGATCCGGCCACCCCCGTCGTCGTGGCGGCGGATCTGGCCTCCCCCATCGTCGCGGCGGCCGGATCCGGCCGGACCCGAGCTCGCAGCGGTAGAGGCGACGGCAGCTCGTGGCAGTGGTGGCGACGGCAGCTCGTGGCGGTGGAGGAGGGAGAGGGAGAAGGAGAGCCCGCCGCTGGACCCGTTGCCCGCGCCGACGTCGTCGTCGAGACACGCCGCCGAGCCTGCCGGATCCGTCGCCCGCACCGTCGTCATCGCTGAGACTAGACGCCGCCGAGCCCGCCGGATCCGTTGCCCGCGTCATCGTCGTCGCCGAGCGCGCCGGATGCATCGCCCACCACCGGATCCAACCCCTCCCCGTTGCCCGTGGCCCGAGACTCCCCGCGCCGCTAGATCCACCACCACGACACGAGCTCCGCCGCAGTCGAGCTCCATCGCAGTCGAGCCCCGCCGGCGAGGACTGGTGGATGCCGCCACCCGTGGCCCGTTGGCATGCGCTGACGACTGAGGGAGAGGGAGGAAGGAGGAGACATGCGCGCCAGATCTGAGCGGTGTCGCTAGAAAACTGGGGAAGTCTGTGCCTTTATTTTCGCTGGAGAAAAGGAGAGGAGACCTGGGGTTGGACGCGGTTGGTTAATATGGCGGCGAATTTATTTTCGCTGGCGTTCCTCTTTACTGGCCGTATGTGAAAATAACTGCCAGCGATAATCCTATTTTCGCTGGCTGCGAGTAAAGAGGACTGCCAGCGAAAATCGTATTTTTGTAGGCAGTTATTTAAGTGGGCCGCTAGCGAAAATAGCTATATTTTTGCTAGCGGCCCTCTTAATCCGATAGCGAAGATCTATTTTCGCTGGTGGTTCGTAGCTTCCCACCCCTCATAATATTTTCGCAGGCGGTTTCCATGTATAACTGCTCGATTTTGTAGTTGTGCCATAAACAGAAATAGAAAAGAAAATGCGCAGAAAGACTACCAGGCCCAATGACCGCAGCTTGACCCAATCCCATCGATTGCTTTTCCATGATGCAGCTTGACCGGTGCCACTAATTTCCCAGATGGCCATTATAATTTCCCAGATGCACCTTGTTGTTTCGTTTCCTCCATGAGCGATTCAACATCCAACGTCGACTCGTCGATGCCGTCTGATAACTCACCAATCGCCAAGTACTGCTTCCTATATTCCCCTAATCACAACCCTAACCTCTGTTAGTTCGCAGCGGGAAGAAGCCAACAACGCAGCAATTTCAGATCACAGAAGGTATGTTCGTGTCCAACTGTCCATCTATGAGCCCATGAGTTCATTGTACCATCGGTCCATCACAATTCACAGCTATTTTCAGCACAACATGAAGTTAGTTTTTTTTTTGTTAAGTATAACATTTACTGTTTTAGCATCATATGTTCCTAAGAAAGGTAAGAAAGAACATATATTTAAGTTCTATAATTAACTGAAAGTATGCTTTGGTTATGCTGCATTTTTAAATTTTATAAAGCTTCAGTTTGCGTTTCGCACATAGGCGGCAATTACTAATTTGACAACTTAACCCTTTTAAAAAACTTTTTTCAAGAAAAAATCGGACAAAAACTTATTTAAAAATAAATCGTGACCTCAACTCAACACTATCATGATTAACGTTAATGTCCAATGACTCAATGCCAACGAGCATAGCGCTAACAGCTGCCACGCTGGCTCAAGGTGCAAGGAGAGCATAGCTGGTCAGTGCCATGCCGCTTGGCACTGGCCCCATGTACTTGTTTACTAAAAGCGAGTACAATATAATAACGTAAGCGGACGGTACAAATTATCCCATCACATTTCTATGTATGTAGAAGAGAGAAGAGAGAAGAGAGAAGAAAGTGAGTTATAAATTTGTAGCCAGCTCCAAAAGATTAACCTAATACCAACCAGTGGTACGGTTTTTTTGTCACCCCTCGTACCAAGACTATGTTTGAGTGGAGAGGAAAAGAGAAAATTAAAGAGATAAAGTAAAACGAGATGAGCTATTAAAACATCATTAATTAATTATTTTAAATTTAAAAATAGATTAATATGATTTTTTAAAATAACTTTCATATAGAAAATTTTTGTAAAGCACACTTTTTATTAATTTAGGATAAGTACAAATCTATATACTATTATAAAAATTAAAAATATTTTTACCGAGATTTTGGTACGTTATCCGTGTTTGAATCGGGTTTTAGTTTTAATTGAGGAATCGGTTTTAATTGAATGTGTTTTTTTCTCCGTCTATTTTTCTCGCCAGTTTTTTATGTCCGATTAGGCTTCTTTTTTTCATCCATCCGGTTTTTTCATCACCGTATTTTTCCACTCAGTCCGATCTGATCTCCCTTTTTTTACCGCTCTTACGGCCCGGGCCAAACCCTAGCGCCGCCGCGATTTGCCTTCCAGTGCATTTCCTCCTATTATTGATTGCAAAAATCGATTCCCTACTCCTAACTCATTATTTTCTCCATGATTTTCTCTTTCAATTTGGTTTTAATTTGTTGGATTTAATCTCCATCGAAGATGGCCGACCAGCGAGTTTCGCCTTTTATCCCGATTTTTGCGAATTCTCTCTGATCTTGGGGAAACGGAGAGAAGAGATCAAGTGGATCAAAAGCCCTCAACCAATTTTAGAAGATCAATAAAGATTCGGTTGGATTTGATGACGAGGATCGGCTCCGGCATCATGCATAGTATATCTTCCGGTGGTTGAAGATCGCATTAGGTTATGTGAGTTGGGCCTACGACTCCACTTTTCCCTATGGCTTGGGCCTGTTTGGGTGTTAGGCCAAAGAGATATAGGCCGAGCGTGGGGAGGTATTTAACTGGGTTAGGGCTAAAAACAATTGTAGGAATAATGTTTCGGCTCAAAACCAAGAAATGATTTTCATTAACTTTTTTTAATTATAATGTGTATAGTGATTCTAATATTTTTATTTATTGTTCGGTTTCTAATAGTTGTTATATATCGGAAAAAACGTCTTTACCCGTTACAACGCACGGATATTTTTTCTAATAAAAAAAAGAGAGAGATCTTCTGCCAATCCTAGCTGCCGGACGGAGAAAGACACCATAGTCTCCGTCCCTATATTTCTCCGTGCCGCCACCAACCTTGTCCCCTTCGTCTTTCCCCGCGTTAACTTGCTGCTCCAGTTTACTTCGCCATGACTCTGACCTCGGTTTCTCCACCCGTCGCTGTAGAACAACGTACGCGAGCACAGGGTGATGAAGTGAAAGGGAAGAATTATAAGCAGTGTTCGACCGGGTCC